GCAATTGGGGCACATGTCACACCCCTGCACCTGGACGTCTCAAGGTCGTTGTGGCGCTCGCAGCTAGCTGCTCATTGCACACTTTTTGAGGATTATCCATACAGAAAAAGCAGACACAAAGGAAGCCCCTGCCGTCACATGATTTTTGGGAGAGAATGAAAAGAGGAGGGTGCGAGGGGCATTCTCCTACCTTGCGGAATATGGTTTCGTTGGTCGGTCTTTAAGCATCAATCAGAAACTGCTTCTTAGCCTACGTGATTTTGTGGCAACCACATGAACCAAGAAAGCACGGAGGAAGTTCAACTTCTGCGAACAAACCAGAAATCTTGATGGTAGGCACTGCACATAAAAGAAAGCCCTCTTAACTATTCGCTTAATGCAGGCACATAAAAATCAGGTCCCTCAAGACATAAGCTAGTACTGTATCCAAACCGGTATATTCAGCTTTAAAAACTTTTTCGTGCTGGTTTAGCGACAGGCAAGTGAACCAGGTCAACTGCAGATAAATCAATGCACTATTACAACTTTCACTCGGATAGGTGTCACATAAGCAGACCTGCCAAGCTACAATGATGAAAATACTACAAGGGATGCCAAAAAACACTACTATTGTGTGAAGGAATACGAAAACTGATTTATACTTCAAAAACTTGGTTTAGTTAAGAAAAATGCCTCAACTAGGGCACAAACACATCATACATTGCACGAAATGTCTTATTCTTTAGAAGTAGAAGGTTGGGTCAACACTGAGGAAGTTTCAGCATATGCTTCTCTTAGGAAGTTGTTGTCGAACACTTGTTCATGGCACTTTCCAGACTGGCTGCATCTCACAACTAACAACTGTTCAAGAGTCTTTTTCGACATAGAGGAGCGGAACTGCGTGTGTGCCTCCTTCACTTTGCTGAAAACTCTTTCTCCTGTGCCTGGTTTAACGAAGACGTTAAAGAGCAAAGTTCTTGCTCTTTAACGTCTCCACAACAACCGCTGTAAACGGCACGTTGTGTTCAATCAAAAATGTCGTAAATGGCATTCTGCTCGGGTAGTGTCGTAATCCGTTGATCGACTAAAGTACCCTCCGAACTTCTCGTTGGTTTCATCTACATTTGCAGAGCCCTTGTGTTTTTTTGTATTCAGATGACAGAATGTCCTGGCGACCAGCGTGCGAAATGTTGACATCGCAGCGACATACTACAAAATGTGCACATTTCGCCCTTGCGCGACGTCTTCAGAAATGGAAAGTCGGATAAATAGCTGGGAATAAACACTTGCAAGTATTTTTTTCCCGCCATCTTGTAGCAAAGATGGTTTCAAGGGATCATGAGTAAAAGTTCCAGTAACACAACGTACAACGTTCGCCACAACAAAGGAGATTTCTAGTTTTGGATTCAGATGGATGGATGGATGTTAGACGCTCAGCTCAGTAGCGGCTATACCACCCCTTACATCACTAGAGCGGTAGCCTGCGCCCCCTGGCATACAAGTCATTATCCAGTGTTGCCAACCCCAACTTGTAAACAAGTGAGATGCAGCTTAAACAAAATTATTTTTTTCTTTACAGGGGGGTGCGGAAAATTATACAAATATTGTTGTTAATACGATAACCTCAAGGAAGCGCTGGAAAGCAGACACTTTACGATAAAATCGTAAAACTTGGCAGGTATGCATAAGCATAACAGAACAAATGACATGCAGCTTAAATTTTCTTTACGGTCAAGGTGGTTCGAAAAAGGCATGAATTGAACCGCAGCAACTAAACAGAGTTGGCGACACATTAGAAATGAGTAAACACAATACAACTATCCTCCTAATTTAGAAAAAAAACTGCATCTCAATGTTGTGAAAATGTTGATTGGGGCGAAGCTCTGGTGGTGCTTGTCTGCGTAGACGCTGAGCCGCAGGATGCCGAGCCTTTTATTCGTTTTCATCCATGTCACGCTGCGGTCAAATGCTCAAATGCGCATATAACCACATTCCATACCACCCATTCTCTTTCTGACATGGATGAAAACGAACGAAAGGCTCGGCATGCTGCGGCTCAGCGTCTACGCAGACAAGCACCACCAGAGCTTCGCCCCAATCAACATCATTCACCACGTAAAGATGCGCTTTTTTTTGTTTTTTTTTTGCCTTACACAACCTTAGGAACACGTGCTCACGTGCTCGTGAGCACATGAACTCACGAGCGAAGCACGAGCACCCGACGCCACACATGGCTAGCCCCTAAGGAGCTTCGCCCCTAACAAAAAAAAATAAAAGCCGCTTACAGCTCCCTGTAATGCTGAATTAGAGTGCAGCTCTTGAGGAGGAGGGGAGGGTACTAAGGGTGACATTTTCTTTTTTTTTTTTGGGGGGGGGGGGTTACGTGACCAGGGGGAGGGGTCACGTGACCCCCACCCCCGCCCCATCTTGAGGTCACGTGACCCCCAAGGTCACGTGATCCCCCTCCCCGAGGTCATGTGGGGGTCACGCGGCCTTCCAGAGAAATTTTTCCTGTAGATTTAGCGGGAAAACTTTTCCGCTAGATTTAGCGAGGAGATTTTTCTGCTAGATTTAGCGGGGAAATTTTTCAGCTAGATTTAGCGAGGAAATTTTTCCGCTAGATTTAGCGGGGAAATTTTTCCGCTAGATTTAGCGGGAAAACTTTTCCGCTAGATTTAGCGAGGAGATTTTTCCGCTAGATTTAGCGGGGAAATTTTTCAGCTAGATTTAGCGAGGAAATTTTTCCGCTAAATTTAGCGGGGAAATTTTTCCGCTGGATTTAACAGGGAAATTTTTCCGCTAGACTTAGTGGGGAAATTTTTCCGCTAGATTTAGCGGGAAAATTTTCCCAAAATGCAACGCGCGGTTATGGCGACGGGGACGCCGCTCAAGCCAGAAACGGGCGCCTAAGAGCTGCGCTCTAAAAGAATCATCATCAACAATTAGAATTTCCTGCTTACCCTCATCAGCATCCGCATCAACTGCAGGATGACTTGCCTGTGCCGAGTGACCTGCTCCATACATCAATATGTCACCATACTCTTACAAAAACTAAAATTTCTTGGCTAGATTCCTGATTGCTACTAATTAGTGGTCGTCCGAAACAATACCCCTAGTTTTTTGCCCTTCCTTACTGTCGGTTCATTCCTTTCAATATGCCAGTAGGGATCTCACTTGGTCGACATTGCGTTTCCTGAGGGAATAACTTTCTTTTAGGCGATGTGAGGCCGTTAGGCATCAAGTTTCAAAGTGAGGAGAGCCGACACTGGTACAAAGGGTGAAAGAAGCTAGCTATGCAGTGACAGCGTTTATGATTATCACACCATATCCACTGTTGTGTGCGTTACAGCCAAAAAGAAGGACAAGTGGAAGCGACCGCGGCAAACCGCGGTACCTCTTTAGCTGTAGACAGTGACAATATATGTGAGGCAATTGCGAGTCAAAAATGTGCATGTGTAGAAAGAAGCCTATGCGAAAATCACATTCTAAACCAACAAATGCCTTCCATGATCGCAAAGTTTCTCAACTCTCGTGTAAGGTGGCGTGTAGTGCGGTGAAGAGGCGCTAAGAAACAATGCCAGGTTGCAACAAAGGCAACTCATCTTCAACATTTTTTTTTTCTTGCTTTAGAAAAAATATTATTTTGAATAAACTTTCAGAAATTAAAGACAAACTCTTCTTCCAATGTCGGTATCTTTCACATTTGTACTCTGACAACGTCATAATAAAATAAATGCATGTTTAGGCAAAAAAAAAAGAAAGACTTTTTCACAACTTTAGAATATTTTTTTTCCCATGAGGTATTTCGTTATGCGGCTTCAAACATTTTTTTTTTATTTGTAAAATGTCTACAGGGCTTTCAATAGCAAAAAAAACTTATAATTACCAGGTGCAGAGCGATAATTAAACAAAAAAGATTAAGAAAATTGCAAAAAAAAGGTTTTTGATGAGGTTTCTAAAACTATTTTAACAATTAAAGTTGCATAAACATCACAACATAGCAAGGTAAAAGCCATTCGAATTTCATAAAATAAAATCCGAGGCATTTTGAAAAAAATTAGACTTTCACTCCTTTTTTGAATGCCTAGTTGTATGCCCATTTAAGAAATAAAAACACGCTCACGCCGTAAAAAAAATGTTTTCGGCAAAAATATTTTAGGGAACATATAAATAAGGAAACAACATAAAAGGTCTTTTCTGTTCTTCCTTTAATTATATTTTACCCCTACCAGCACGCTCTTCATTCCAAGTATTTTAGGAAAAGGTTACGGACTTTGGGGTAAAGAGCCATGAATTTTCTTTTTAAAATGGGAAATGGTCAAGCGTAACGTCTGGGATGTTTGGCGTGGAATGAGCCCCATGCCAACAGTTGCCTAAGCGGCAAGATTGAAGAAAGAAAGGATTGGGCGGTAAGTAAGAAAAAAAGGAGGGAATAAGTCAGAAGGAAGTGACCTAGAAGACAGGAAAGTGGGCAGACAAATGACTTCAGACCTAGGTGGGCTGTAGTTGTGGAGAGAGATGTACTATTCGAGGTGAGAATTGCAGAGAGAAAATGTCTATTTCCATCGGAATGACTAGTGGCATAAGGTGTGCAGATAATTAAGGCTTTTAACATGTGTAGTTTTCCTGGAAACATAGAAGCCCCGTTTCTTAGCTTGTTAGACCCTGTAATCGCATGTCTCTGTCAACAACCACAACACACCTCTTTGTGGTCTAGGGTTAAATCTCAGCACTCAGTTTCCCATCTTCTAGGTCATTTTTCTCCTTCTCACTTTTGGTCAGCTACCTCATTTTTCTCTCCCTCTTTACTGAGCCCACCGCTGCAACCGTCGTGGTTCTTGAGGACCTTCAATAAATGCTCATGCTGCCAGTTCATCAATGTCTCTATTTCCCTTTCTCCTTAAAGCATGTGTATGGTATCATCATGATAAATGAACATGGCAGCTTTGCTGACCTAAAATTATGGCTTGTTAATTGTAAAGACGCATAAATGTAGGTTTGGTAAAACTGAAAGTAAATACCCATCATATCTGTAGCCAGGCATTCCGAGCGAGGTGGTCACGGGCAATGTCCATCAGCCTCTGTGATAGGCAACGTCCAATTACTTTCTGACAAGCAAGTACTTCCTCCTTTGAAAGTTCTTTTCCCACAGGTGTGTGCCATTGTTGTTCCAGGTAGAAGTTGAGAAACCTAAAAAAATTTAAAGCAGTCCTATAACGTGAGCAAATAAATGCTGTCATATTTGACTGTCACTATCTTAGATCACTTTGTCATTGCAGTAGGTTCCTAAAACTAGATACAATTTGTTTTATAACTAAAAGCACTGGGCAAACCATTGCAAATCCTTTTGATTTCAGGGTTGTTTGTGCAATTAATAGTGGATTTGGACAACATAAACAAAAATATTGAGAACACAATAAATTCCTATGATTGGTCAAACCTGACAACCCCAGAAATAGTTGAAAGCTAGATAATAAGGCTTCAGCTGGTATGGGCTGTGATGGAGATCCAAGACTAAGGAAAAGGAGAAACAGCTCCCCCATGTGTCTAGTTTTCCACTGCCTAGAGCTGCAACATGAAATTAAATGCCTCCATATTAAATCAGAGAAATTTAATAATGTTGCTATCAGCTCTAAATCTCTGGGATCCATTGGAAAATTTTATTCATTTTGATCAAAAATTCATCTTTTTTTTTTTGTTATCCTACGTTTATTTTGAAAGAGGGAAGGGGAACAAAAGCTTTGCTGCGTGGTCATTTTGAGTGCTAAGAGCTATTTGTTCTGTGCACAATGAATCTCAAAATGCACAAAATTTCTAAAATTTCAAGTATGACTATCTATTGCAAGTGACAGCCAGCACATGTACACTCCAACAACTGAACAATGACTATGAGATGCTGGCAATGGCAGCAGCTTGCACAGTTCATTTGTCGTTATTTGCATTTGTGAGGCTAGCTACGTATCATAGATATCAAAGGCTACATACAGGCCTTTGATAGCTATGAGAGCACAGAGCATAATTCTCCCAGCTGTCCGAATTTAAAGGCACTTATGGTAGCTGCATTATTCACAATGAGAGAAATCAACAATTTACGAACATCAGAAGCAACAAATGGCAATAAAAATTTTGTGTTACAAGCGATTTAAAGGGAAAGCATATGTACTAAAGGACTGAACACTCATTGAGGAAATAATGAGATATCTGGAATTTCCAGTTTGCTACAATGGAAAGGTGCTTTACAATGCAATATGTGTGCACTGCTGATGCCAGGCTATTACTCCTCAACCCCATTCTACAATGGGTTCTAAAGCCCTCTACCGGCTTAAAAAAAATATAAATAAGCCAACAGACAGTGTTGAAATAAACTTTCCACAAAGGTGTCTTTAGGTGGTGCATTTCTCATACTAAAATTTCATGAGAGCCACTTTTAGAGCAAGCCAACCGCCCCTCCCCTAATACAGTAAGTTAAAAAAAAATTTAGATTTTTTTAAACGCAAAAGTTAACTATGCATCGCTGTATGCTCAGTTTCGGCCCAAATGTAGCTCTAGAGGTCCCAACCGGATGCCAAAATTCAGAACCAACCGATATCTTGTTCAAAATACGTTTTCAGTAACTTGCGCCATTCAGCTCCATTTATTCAACGGCTCCAGCAGCCAGCATTTGTCTATCGAAACTTTCAAAAAATCACTCACAACTTTCGAGATAACGGTTGGTTCTGGAACGTTGGCCTCAGGTTTGGACCTCTAGGGCCACATTCGGACGGAAACTAAGCACTCGACAATGCATAGTTTATTTTTGCAAAAAAAAAAAAAAAATATATATATATAATAAAAATTTCGAAGGGTGACACGCTCTATTCTAAAATATTAATGCGGGGAGGGGTCAGATACTCGGTCTTGACCCGGCTCTTTTGAGCTTTTGAGGCACCAGAGAAAGCCGTCGCTGGACGAATTGGAAATGAGTACTGAGTCAGCGCTCCGCATCGTGCCAAGTTTCAGCCGTCCGTTGATGCAATCGTCATGTCCAATCTGTGACCATTGTTGGCCTTCGCTGATGAGGACATCTCTATCAGCATTACGGCTTTGTCGCCGTAATGCTGAAGACGACAAGGTTTGCCGAGAAAACATTCTGATGGCCAAAGGAAGCAAATCGTGCTCACCGTAGTTGCAACCGGACAGGGTCACTGGCTTGCCCCAGCGTGGGCTTTTCTTGAACACATTGATCGTGAAGAAACCTTGAAACTTTGGTAAACTCGGAGAAATTGGAGCATTTTCACATCCTCAAGCATTTCCCAGCCCCACCCGAGACACTTTGAGAAAAGATCGATGGATGGACAGATGCTAACCTGGCGAACCTGGCAGAGCTGGCAGAGCCGTGTAACCTGGCTAACCTGGACTGCAGCTGGACCTGGACTGTACTGTTATACCCTTGATAATGGGCGGTAGCTTGCGCCACCTTTCCTAGGTACCTTGTTTTGATAACCACTGCTCATGGAAATAGCGAGCGCTCGCAGATTTGGGACCACATTTGGGACTACTTCCATAAATCCGTGCAAGCAACACTGCGCGCGTTGCACTCTGGGAACTAGTTGGCCAGGGCATAGGTCAGGGAGGAGAGCGGCATGATTTCGGTTTCGATCGACACATCGAGAAGGAATCATACAAAGAGCATGGATTATCGACAGCCGTTATCTCACGTTTCCTGGTCCCGTGCGCATCGTTTTGGGTCTCTAAACTAAACTAAATGGCCAGACCTCGAAGCCTCAGCACAAGCGCGAACCATACGTAAAGCTTGTCTTATTGACACATGTTTATTTTTGCACTCGACCCTTCACCCGCGACTCCGACAAATCGTGAAAATTGAAGCGGACGCTTCTATTTTTACGGCCTGTCGGAGTCGTGAAAATGTTTGCAGGAGTCGTGAAAATTTTTACGATCACGACTGCTCTCCTCTTCAGATTGACGTCACAGGCCACCTGCGTCTGGCTCACCTCGCCAACGCCCTCGCGTACCGCCGTCGCCTCGGCTCGAAGGCCAAGGAGGTCCGGCTTTGGGTGGATTTGGGACATTCCTGCGTCGAAGGGTGCGTTTCGCCCGCCTCGGATCTACTTTCTTTGTCGAGATTCACTTTCGTCGTGATGGCGTCCGATGCGGTTCCGTATTGTGAGCGGAGGCCTTGAGCAATTGACCGACAGCCAACAGAGCGTGTGAGTGGCTCTCCGGACCCACGTGATAAGCAGAGCAAGGCCGCCGTGGAGGAAGCGAGGGGGAGATTTGACGGAGGGAAGCTTCCCCCCGGAAAGAATTGACGGAGGGAAATTTCCCTCCGACGGCCGGAAGCGGATCGCGGCAGAGCACGGCACGATTTGCCGGAGTCGCGGGTTTTGTAGTGTCCTGTTTGGACACCCCTTTAGCGTTTCGAGGTATGGTGGACGAGCCACTGATGGGAATCTCGACGCTGCGAAGCGCAGGGATTTTGCTTGTGCACGAGTCAACACGCTGCAACAACCAATAAGTTCGCGTAAACCGAGCTCGCAACTTTACATTGGTGTTGCTGGTGAGCAAGTGTGTATCGTCCATTGACGAAATTATTTTTAGCAACAGTCGGGCACTTGCGTGAAGAATGTCGCACAGTTCGGCGGACAACACGTATCGAAACCAAAACTGAGTGGCCAACTAGTTCCCACAGTGCACTGCGTGGTATTTCGCCGCGATGGGGCGCGTCGGTTTTGGAAGAAGTCCGCCCTAAAGCCCCTCGATGTGTTTGCGCTCGTCTTGCAAGTAGCGTCAAATGCGCGAGTGCACGAGGCCCATGTCTCGAGCGGCCCTTGGAAGCAAATGGCGGCGCAGCACTGAAATGAGCGGGCCTTGGAAGCGAATGGCGGCGGAGCACCCGCTCATGGCACGTGTCTCGAGCGCTTCCACAACAATGGTTGGCGGTACTTGTAAAAAACGCTTTTATCAAGGGGCTTTAGTCCGCCCCCGTGTGAACTGGGAACGGGAAAGGCATTTGAAGTCCGACTGGGAATCGCTCCAACCAGTTACTTTCCTAACTGGACCCAGTTCACTCCATTCCCAACTGGGAGTCAAACAGTTGACTCCCAACTGGGAATGGTTCAAACCAGTTGACCCCTCAGCTGGTCCCAGTTGGACTCCTATTGGTCCCAGTTGACTCCCAACTGGGAATGGTTCAAACCAGTTGACCCCTCAGCTGGTCCCAGTTGGTACCAGTTAGTCCCAGTTGAAACCAGTTGAGGTGCCAACTGGTCCCAGTTAGAAATTTTCGCCTGGGCGCTAGCTTAAAAATTCCAAGCGCATTTAGCGGTTGCTAATGACTATACTATTTGTTATGTGCTTGCCTTCTTCGTGACTGAGTGTGCCGAGATAATTTCAGAACCACCGTTCAGACACAGATCTTGGGTGTCGGTAAAAGCTCATACAAAAAGGATTCTCGGAGAGTAGGGCAGGCTTAAGAGAAGCTCATCGAGATAAGCTCACCGGAGATAAGCTCAACGGAGATAAGCTCACCGGAGATAAGCTAACCGGAGAAAAGCTCACCGCAAAACCGGCAGATGCGGAGAAAGGCTGACCATTTTTTTTTAAACTTGGCGGATTTTGCGTCAAACGTGGCAATTTAACACAATTCGCAATCATCACCTCATTAAAAATAAATCAACTTTTTTTTTGCAATATTCTTGAAGTTCATTGTGCATACTTACTAATTCCTCAGATATTAGTAATCTCTCATTCTGTATATTAATGAAGCCGCAAGTATAAAATCAGAACATCGTACACCGGTAAAAGAAACAACAATTTATCGACAGCTGACAGTGCGCCGTCGGTAGCTCTGTCAGATAAAGAGGTTCAATTTTTGCGAGCTAATATGACTAGCGGTGTGTGAACCGTTTCAGCTCCAAATATTTGTAGTGCCTAATGTATAAGTGGGTCTTCGTTAATGTAATCAGTGGCAGCTACGCTGTTCTCTTTCTGTTAATTTGACTAACAAACCTTTAGTTTCGAGAACAGCTTCGTCCGGTCGTGTTTGTTGTCTTCACTCCGTCGTCGTCGTTTGAGCTGTTTTCATCATGTAAAACGCTTACCAACTCGCCCTACTCGCTACCTTACAGAAGACAACTTTTTATGTAGGTCACGAGTAACAACGGTGACAGTGTGCAGCTCTGAAGGTGGTTCGCTGCAAGAAGGGCACTATCACACAAAGGCAACGTGTGGAAACACCAGCACGAACGGCTAGAAAAGAAAATGTTCATGTCCGTGGAAGAAGAAGCCTCGATATCCTACTGACCGTTTTATCCTGTTTTCAAAGGTTAACAAAAGCTTCAAAGATAATTTCAGGCACAGCGTTGTTGCGTGCGCACTTTCGAATTTTGGGCATTTACAGAGTTGAGTTTTAGGCTTTAGGCAGACATACATTATTAAGTTATCAAGCTTTTTCCTGTTCTTCAAGTTTATAAAGTTTTCAGTTAGGCTTTAGTTGCCAAGAAAGTAAGCCACAAAAAACACTCGCCCGCAATTATTAATTTGGGAGCCGGATACCCAAAAAGTTTAACAAATAGTATAGAAAATGACATTTTCTTTTTTACAAAGCTGACGAATTTTAATGACAATAAATTGATATATGTTACGCATAATCGCGCAGCCTCCATATCGGTGAGCTTTTCTCTGCATCCTCCGGTTTCGCGGTGAGCTTTTTTCCGGTATTCGAGGCTTGTTAGCTAGGGTAGCTAGCCGATCTCGGCGTTTGCGAAAACGTAATCTCCAATCGGCATAAAAGTTTAGTGGGAGATATATGACGACACGAGGACGACTTCATACCAACTTCTGTGCAGTCATGCGCCGACGCTGGGCTCAACTGTGAGTATCCTGTGAGGATGGGCTTGTTTGCTCAATGAGGTAACACGAGGCGGATGTTTGGCAAACAAAATCTCAAAGATACAATCGGGGGATGAAGGGACTAAGTGACGTCTTACTACGTCTGCATACGCAGGCACAATGTCCGGCATGTCGGGAACCAAAAAAAAAAAAAAGCGCCTCAGTCTTCCTTCTATATCGCTCGAGAATGCTTACGAGTATTGTACATTCGTGGGAAGTCGGACAATTGAGAACGGAAGCAGCGCATTCGGTCATGCGTCGTGATGGCGTAATTGAAGCTCCTCAGTCGAAACCGAACCTGAGTGGCCAACTAGCTCCCAGGGTGCACTGTGCGGCAATTCGCCGCTACGGGGCACTTCGAGTTTTGGAAGGCCCCTGATCAGCGATGATGAGCTGTTGTGTGGTATTCTGTAAACCGCCTAACGACGGAAAAAAGACGTACCTTCGCTCCATTGCCACTGGACGCTGGATCAAGTTCGTTTCTGGACCGCGAGTGCCGCAAGTTACAGATACAGTCGTCAGAGTAAAGTAAAAAGTTGCTCAGAGGCACATACGGCTTCACGCACATTGCAATTGCAAAACACATCCACACGGCGTCGATTCTTGATCGGTATCCAAGCGTACGTGCGAAGGCACAGAGACGCACCACTTCAGCGTGCCAAGGAAGCTTTCATCACGCCGCGAAACCAGCTCAACTTTCTTTCGACAGGTTGTGCATTTTTTCTGCGGCACTGCGCTTCCGTAAAAATTTCCACGTGTTCTCAACGGCAAGTCTCACCGCTTACACAGGGTTTTAAAAAAATTCTTTGGCAAATGACGACGAACGAGTAGAAAACGTGTGTTCAGCATGCTGACTCCAGCCTCCGCAACGCTTCCGAGAACGCGATTTCGCCGCATGCAAGATGGCCGTCCCGTAGCCGCACTCGCACTGCATGGACCAAGCGGGGTAGCTTCTCTTTGCCTTCCGATGGCTCACCAGCCCGACGACCCGGCGTACTACTAGCCGTGTACAGCACGAAACACGTCCTGCTAAATGAGCACAGCCAACACCACCTAGAATAATCAAAACCTCCGCATTGCCTCCTCTCCGTTCTTAAAAGTCATCACAGTCAGCCTTCGACACGTGGATTGAACACAAGCCCCAGCCGAACTCCGACGCAGCCCTCGTGCCCAATCTCAGGCCTCTATCAATCTGACTGGGATGATGGTGCGATCACATTGCGGAGGGGCTTATCTAAGTGGTGTTGGCACAGCTCGTATTTACTAGCTTATATATATAAGTAGGCTTCGGTGTTTTCGGATAATTCAAAATAACACCCGCCAGTCAAATTATTGTCAATTCGAATTTATCCGATAAACTCCGAATTTGAATGTGCAATGCTACCCCCCTTCCCCTCCAAAAAAAGAAACACGAAAAAAACTTTG